AGTATAATACAGACACAGACAGAGTGACAGAGTGTCTCTTCTACTACAAGGCTAACACCAAAACTTGGATTTCCTTTATAACCTCTTTCAAATACGTCAAAATTACTACCTGGAAGAGATAAGGTTCTTTATCTTTCTTGTCTTACAGTGCCGAGATCTCTTTGAACACATCAATCTCCTGTCAGCGGCATGAAAATTAAAATTTCTTAATATTTTTCCTACAGGGTATTTCAATGCACAAATGCATTACACTTATTGGAATGTTTTCTTTTTCATTACTTCCTATTTGTCCGAGATATTAACAGCATTATCTTCGAAAAGCCAACGCCGTTGGCGCTTAGTGGTGACATGAAATGCAAAGATCATCCCAATAACTGCGCCAACAAGTATCAAAGTCATTTCTATGTACCTACCTACACACACACATATATGTACATACATACATAAAAATCTGTGAGTGTGTATTCACACAAATTACATTAGTACAGGTTTGGCGCTGAAAGACAAGAAAAAGATACTTCAAACATCTCATTGTTTATTATCCAATAACATCGAGTGTTGTACTTGAAATCTATACATACATACATACATACATACATACATACATACATATATATTTACTTAGAAGAGGGCTTGCATAAGTGTATGTGAGAGATTGTTACTCTCTCTGCATTTGTACCTGAATGCCTTTGTATTGCGCAATTTCCAATTGAGAGTGAGTGAGAGAGAGAGAGAGAGAGAGAGACAAAGCGGTGCTGCTTGAGCAGCTGGATTGTTTCACTTCTCGAGACACTGCGGAGAGAGTAGTAGAGAAATCGGCGCTATGTTTTTAATCAGATATTTCTTGAGTTGAGTTGAGTTGATTCTTACTTTGCAAGGATTGAGGCAGACGTGTGTGTAAGAGAGAGAGTGACAAAGAGAGAGTGACAGAGAGAGAGAGAAAGAGCGGAGCGGAAGGTCTAAGTGACTTTTATTACGAAGAACAGGGGAGATCGGTGTCCTACACTGAGAGGTTTTTTCGGTATCGTCCTCTGGAAGTCTTTGCGAAACGTTAGAAATTTACATCAAAACAAAAAGCTCTCTCTCTTTCTTATGTTCTCCGCATTAAGGTTGTAAAAAAGCTCCACTGCAATTCGTTGTAAGAGCACTGAGGAACAGTATTTCAAAATGCCAGCGTACCGCTGCAAGAGAAATAAGTGGTTTTTGGACAATGTCGAGCTAACACGATCAAGATTATTGAACTGCAGTGGAGAGAGAAAATGCCGGGAGCAGAAGTTTTAGCGGCTGAAATATTCAAATATGGGTGAGATAAACTGAAAAGGTATATGCATTAGCTACTTTCAAGAATATGGTCGGACAAAGCATACCTGACGTTAGGAGCCTAAGTGAGCTCTACCTGCAGTCAGCATCCATTATCAAAAAACTGATCGGACCCATTTAGTATGGTACGTGAGAAATAATGGACACATACCACCTCTTCGTCGTCTTTAAAGCAGACTTCGGCGGCACGAAAAGGACTACGAGAAGGACTTGCCTCTACGCCGCGATGTCTGAATTTTGTATCCCTGCAAAGTTTATACATCTGTATAAACCCACACTGCACGAGCTTTTAAATAGGATGATCGTAAGATCAACTTGATGCCTTTTTTTTTTAGGTTAGCGAAACAAATGGTACTGGAGACCCATAATAAATAGGAAATCTATTATCAAACCAACAGCGCTGACTGACGCTTCCGGTCTCCCACATTACTCTGAAATCGCAGATAACTTCTCCTATCTAAGAACCAGCATCAACATCTACAACAAAATAAACTCTGAAATCCAAGGCAGAGTCACTCTTGGCAACAGTTGCTACTTTGGACTGTGGTTTGAAAGTATTTTTGTTTGCGGGTGAGGCCATTTACTACAGTTATAACTTCACCGGACATTGTGCGGCATGCCAACGTTATCGGTAAGCTGCTTTAGCTATAAATATTCGTCTGATATTCTTTTTAAGTGAGTCCGCTCACTCCGTAGAGTGAAATATAGAGAGTTGTCGCTATTGAAAGCTTTATTTTTTCTTGAGTCGATCCTTCGATGTAAGCCATCAGTCTACTTGACTGAGAAGTGACTTTACGAGGCTTTGTCCTTGTTTGTTCTTGACCTCAGCGCGTCTGAGGTTATGTGCATCAGTCCGGTTTTTTCTCTTGCGAGCTACATTTGTGTTCTTATCATTACCTGATTTAATGTCGTCGGCAATGTGGTCGGCGTAGCTCAGAAGATATGTGTTATCAGGCATCTTAAGGTCTAATAGCAACGATGGTAGCTGACGCTCCAGAGGTCAGGTCGTAGATACAGCCCTGCGCTGCTTCTGCTGTTACCTTGTGTATATGTTGCCGGTCTATAGTTTCGTAAATTAAGACTATATCCTTAAAATAGATGATATATCTGGGATGAAACCTCACTGCTTTGGTGACAGCTTGTTTTCCGGTGAGGGACAAAATGCCAATGGACTGTTTGCGTTTTCTTTCCCGTTTCTAATGAGTTGTTGTTTTTTCCAGATTTCTGATAATAGGACCTTTTAAGGCAGACAGCAAACATATCTAGAAGTACATTAGGTACTTTCAGGGCAATAAACTTCAAAACCCCAACGGTAAGTCATCCGGACATGCCAATATTTTTGGTTTGAGCCTGCAGCAGGGAAAAGAAGGTGTTTTTCGGAAATAAAGCCTTAACGACCTGTTCATTTTACGTCCGCTGAATTCTCGAGGTGTTGTCCTACTCCAAAGACTCTTGTTTAGGTCACTACGTAACTTCCACATTTAACTTTCTTTTTCACAGCATGGAGATTTTTCCTTTCTGCCTCTTCAACTATTCCTTTTCCAGACCCGCCAAAGGCAAAGACACGCCTTTGAAAGTATTTGATGCAATACACGTTGGTTGAAACAGAGAAGACCAGCTGGTGTGCGATATTGGTTCATTTGGCATTTCCAATTGGCGCAAAATAACGAAAGGAAGACACGACTGGTGCGCTATTATTGATTTCGCGCTAATCGCGTGTGCGGTGTCTATGATGCCAATGATGTATAAAAGAATACAGTCACTTTTTGGCTCTTTGACTCTATTCATTATCCAGTTGAAGCTCAAGCTTCTTTTAGAAACGTTATTCCAGACAGTTTCTTTCAGACAGAGAAGACAGAGATTCTCTCAACAAGTGTAGGGCCTAGAGTTTCAAGAAATGGTTGTTCTGATTACACCACAAGCTGAGTCCTGAATTGCTTGCAAAGTGTCCCAAGAGATGACTGAGTAAGGCAAAATTTCTAAAAAGCAAAGTACAATATTAAAATGTTGAACAGCATTCGTGTTTGTGTACATTTGTCCGATTTAAGTAAGATATGCGCCGTCTTTTTCGTAAACTTGTTATTATACCCCTTTCGTAGAAGGCTACGTCTTGCACTATTGGCAAAAAACTCGGAGAGCCAATTTTCACAGGCCTCTCTTGAGACCAATTTCTCACCAATAAGCGCGTTTGCCAATGCCAGGAGAAGATGGTAATCACTTGGTGCCAGGTCCGGACTATAGGGTGGGTGCATTAGGACCTCCCATCAGAGCTCTTGGAGCTTCTGGCGCGTCACCAACGACGTGTCTGGCCTGGAGTTGTCCTGAGGAAACACAATTCGGCCTGTGTTGATCAAAGGTGGCCTCTTCTGGATTAGTGCTGCCTTCAAGCGGTCCATTTATTGGCAGTAGAGAGCCGAATTGAGCGTTTGACCATAGGGAAGCAGCTCGTAGTAGAGTATTCCTCGCCAGTCCCACCAAACACACAGTAAAACCTGGTGCATCTTTGACATCGAAATTACCGGAACGGAACCTCGCAAACCACTTTTGTGCTACACGCTCGTTTACAGTATCGGGCCCATAAACTAAATTAATTTCTTCAGCAGATTTGGCTGCTTTTTCGCCTTGATCGAAGAAAAATTGTAAAATATAGCGAATTTTCTCTTTGCTGGTGTCCATCTTTGACGAGCGCTCTCAACGTACTGAGTCCATGAATCGAAAAACTGTCAATGACAAACTTTTAGCGTGAATAAAAACGTTTTCAGCGGTGTATAGTATGATCTGATGCGACACGTAACACTAGTGCCATGGACAATATCGAGATCTCTTAGATAAAAACCGAACGAACTTTTTGCTACACCTATTATATTATAATGTGTGTGTGCATATCCATAGATGCATATTCATCAGATATCCTTCGACACCATATCAACGATAAATACACACTTAAGTCTAGCGCTCACAATAACAAACATAATATTTCCAGTTAGCGCCAGCGTGATGCTCTCCAGCAGACGCCATCAATGCACATGCATACATACATACATATATATCGACATACACATTCTTGTTTTTATTACGACTTTGCTCTACTCGAACAAAACGATCTTTCAGATACAATGCACAGACAAGCCAGCCAAACAAGTTATGCCATATACGAACGACTACACATGGATCTGTGTGTGTACACGTATGTATGTATGTATGTATGTATATCGGTTTCTTGTACTCGTGCGCGAATATGGGCATTATTATTATACTACATACATAGGTACAAACATATATCACCATTATATACATATACAATGCATACACTATATATGAGCAGTAGATACCACATATTCTTTGCAAAGTGGCTGGTAGCCGTCTACTCTATTGCCGACTGGAGTGGCTTGGTGTGGCGTGGAGCGCCGGCAACGCTGATGGCGCTACATAGTTTGCTGAGCAAGAACAGGTTCGTTTGCCCATTTTCAAATCGGAATGGATCGGATTGGATCGTATCGTATTGAATTGAGTTTAACCACCATCTGTCCGCCACCAATACTCTCAGTTATTTCTGGAACTTCGCGCAATACACTTCAATGCGTTGACTACGGTTAGTGTTGGCGCCGTCAATGGGTTTTGATTTTGTTTTTGGTTTCGATTACAATATATATGTATATTCGTATGCGGTTGTTATAGAGAAAATACAATATAAACAACAATAATAATAGAAATATTAATAATATAATAAAGAAGATAAATAAAAACAAATCTGAGCTTATCAAGCGGTTGCGGAGCAAGTGCGTCGAGATTTATATACAAATCCTATGGCCGATATGTGCAAATGTGTGTGTGCGGTTTATGGTATCGAAAAGGTGCAAACATCTTCTTTGATTATTTATCTAGAGTGCATGAGATTAAATACCAGAAAAAGTTGGAAAATATAAAAAAATTTAAAATAACAAATTTTTTAATTGATGAAAAAAATGCGAAAAATGCTTTTAAAAATTAATTCGCAAACATGTATGTACTCGTATGTATGTAAATAGTTTGTAAATATGTATCCACAAGTGCATACATATACAAACATATATACATATATACTAAGTGACTTTCGGCACAAAAGCGCCGCTTTATATTCGCTTGATACATGTCAGCGTCCGTGTAGTAGCGCGTTTGTTGTTTAGCTGCTGTTGTTGTAAAATGCGTTGGTGGCCCTTTCTTCGATGCTCGCACATATAGTACATATCTACATAACTACTTACCTACCCATCTATGCGTATACAAGTACATACTTATAGATTTTTGTAGCATCTTATGGACTTTGGATATTTGCTGCGTTTGCTCCTCCTCTTATGTCGCTAGCGAATATCTCAATTCTCAAGTTCTTTTTTTTGCGTATAATCCGAGCAGCTTTTGGTGCGTGTGTGTGTACCATTACAAATCCGTGTACTACGAAGTACACTTTTGTTGTTTACAAGCCTACAGATATAAATAGATATTAAGGAAGGGCTAAATTCCCAAGCAAACGATCATAAAACATATAAAGGAAAATGAAAATCAAAAAGAAAATAACAAGCAAAATTTGCAAATGAATAAATGATAAATAAAAAAAAAAAAAACAAAAATAAACTTAAACAATTAAAATAAAATATATTAAAAAATAAGAAAAAAATTAAATAAAATGGGATTAAATGAAATAAAATAAATGAAAATAAAATCAAATCAAAAACAATAAAATAAAATAAATTGAAATAAAATAAAACAACTTAAAATAAAATAAATAAAATAATGTGCTTAAATCAAACTAAACTAAATAAAAATTTAATAAAATAAAAATTAATAAAATTATATAAAAAAAAATTATATTAAATAAAATAAACAAAGTAAAGAAAAATAAAAGAAAATAAAATAAAATAAATTAAATAAAATGAAATTGAATTAAATTCAAATAATATAACATAATATAAAACAAAATAAAATGAGAAACATTTATTAAAATGAAAAAATTAAATTAAAAATAAATAAAATAACAAAAAAATAAAATAACATAAACAAAGTAAAGAAAAATAAAGGAAAACAAAATAAAATTAAATAAAATAACTCCAATTATATAAAATGAAACGAAAAAAGATGAAACAAAACGAGAAAAAATTACATAAAATAAAACTAAATAAAATTATATAAAAAGAACACTATAAAATATACTAAGGAAAAATAAATAAAATTAAGCTTTATAGAAATAAAATAAAATGATAAAAAAGTAAAATTAACTAAAATAAGGTAAGGTAAAGTAAAATATAATAAAAGCAAAAAAATTAAAATAAGAAAATAAATTAAAATAAAACTAAAAACTTAAATCAAGAAATAAAATAAATTAAATTGAAATAAATTAATTTAAATTAAATTAAAAAAAAATGAAACAAAATTAAATTAAATAAAAACAACATAAAATTTACTTTTACAAATAATATAAAAAGATATAAAAAAGTAAAATAATTGAATAAAGTAAATTGTAAAAAAGGAAAGTAAAAAAAGATAAAACACAATAAAAAAAAAAAATTAAAAAAAGTAAAATAAATTAAAACGAAATAAATGAAATGACAAAAAATTATTGAAAGTAAAATAAACAAATGAAATTAAATAATTTGAGAGTAAAATAACAGGCACTTACAAATAGCTCTTTGTTGATATGCAAATACATATTCTTTACACAGTTATAGATATTTGCAGTTCTGGAATGCCTAACGGCACTCGCTAACCGCGTGTATTAATTATGCATACATATGTATGTATTTGTACATAAGTACATATGTGTTTACTCTTACAACAATAAAGCAAAATAAAAATAATTTAATTAATTAACAAGTAAATGAGAAGAAGAGGGAGAGATAGAAAAATTTAAGAATGTTTGTTAAAATGCAAATTAAGCAGCTGAAATAGAAAAGCTGTTACTTATGAATTTGTGATTTGCTCACTTAACTCAATCGTATTTTACTTATGGGCTACGACAAGTAATCTATGTTCCAGGGACGGATCCAATTGGATCCTCTCCTAAGGATCTGTAGCAAAATTGAGCTCTTTTAAGGAAAACTTACGAACTGAACGAAGAATTGTAGACAAATCATGCGTTTTAAAATATTTTACAATAACTGCCGAGTATATGGGGGTTTTAATTTTTAAACTAATGTGGCATAAATTTCTAACCTTTTGGGCTCATTCGGGTCTTCTTCTTTGTTTCTCGGCTGCACAGCAGCAATAGCGTCTTCGGTGCGTACTACACGGCGGCTCTGAGGTTGCGTATCATTCGTTAGAACAAACGTAGAGCGCCGAACCAATCCATGGTTGTTCGAATTACCGACTCTGCTGTGCGATAATGTCGATGAATATTGGACGCAGTCCAAGGGGCTACACATATTGGATGAGTGCATAAGTTCGTGCCCGATTCCGCTGGATGCCGCTCGAATCGTTTGAGAGTGGCGCTCGTGGGAGTGGATTGCCGAACAGTGGACCGTATGTCGACAGCAATTTCTTTGCCTCGACGGATCAAAAACGAACCTTTTTTGGATCGGCTCGTGACTGGTGATGAAAAATGGATCCTGTACAACAATGTTAAACGCAAAAGAACATGGAAACAGGCACACGAAGGGGCAGAACCGATGTCGAAAGGTGGATTGCATCCGATGAAGGTACTGCTGTGCATTTGGTGGGATATCCGAGGCGTGATCTATTTTGAACTCTTGCCAGCTGGAGAAACGATCACTGCCAACAACTATTGTCAGCAATTGGTCGAATTGAAGAAAGCAATTGATGAAAAACGTCCAATCGCAAAGGAGTTCTTTTCCATCATGACAACGCCAGGCCACATGTTGCAAAACCGACACTGGCCAAACTGAAGGAGATGAATTGGGAAATCATGCCGCGTCCCCCATATTCACCCGACATTGCACCTTCTGATTATCATTTGTTTCGATCGCTGCAGAACAAATTGAATGGAAAAAAATTTAAAAATGTGGAAGACGTCAAAACCCACCTTGACACCTTTTCCAACGAGAAACCGCGCGATTTCTATGAATCAGGCATCCGTAAATTGGTTGAACGTTGGGAGTGGATTGCCGAACATGATGGCGAATACATAATTGATTAATAAAAGCGCTTTCTTCAAAAAATTTCAATTTTAGTTTGCACTTGAAATCGGGCACGAACTTATGCACTCATCCTATACTTAAAAATTACCCTCTTTAACACCACTGAAACTCTGACTCGCAAGAGACATTCCTTTCCATGCGACTACACTAAATTTGAGTGTTCGTGGAATTATGTTTCGTCTTAACAAGTAGTAAATATTTTATTAATGAAGAATTTTCTAATATAAAATCAATTTGCAAAATCGCAAATCATCATCCAATAATGCGTTGTTATATTATTCGCGCGCAAATGTACAAACTGCGAGTAGGCCACGCGTATATACTCGTGCATCTGTATGTATGTAGATAATGTAGATATGCATGTACCTATAAGTATCTTTTTGTATATAAATCTGAAAATGTATATTCAAATACAAAATCGAATTTATCAATAAATTTCACCCGATACATCATTTGTGATCCATTTTTATTACTTTCCTACACACACCTCCCTCAGCCACAACGCCAACCTTCCGTGCCGCTTCTACAACAGCTTGTAAACAATCAAAAAGTATTTGTTATTTCACCTGGCAAATCATCGGTGAATTCAAGTGAAAATCGTGTGTTTGCATGTACATAGATACATATATACATATTTATATTAAAGTTTAAGTTTTTATGTGCAATAAATTCCCAATAAAAATATGAGCAAAACAAAAAAACCCTTAATTAAATATAAAATAAATACATAAAAAAATGAAATAATAAAAAATCTCCAAAACGAATGTACAACTTAATGCGATATTAAAAAAATATATATATAAACAAATACAATAATTAAATAATTTATTTACAGCAAAATGTAGTCTAAATAAAAAGTATTGTTCGATTTTTTTTTTTACTTTGCCGAAACAAAAACATTTACATACATACTTCAAGTGAAAACAATTCTACGAACAACTGAAATCTGCAAGAGATCAACGAAAATATTTGCCATATACATACATATTTACACATACACTTAAACATCAATCAACAACTAAAATCCAGCAAAAAATGCAATCACACACATCATTACGTCGGCGTCTGCGATGCGCTACCATCACTACCAGCCATTACTCCTGCTCCACTCGGCTGAATCCGCTCAACGCCATCCATCAGATGTGTTGTTCAGTATTGCTGACGCCATTTCTTGTGCTGCTCCTGCTGTGCCAGCTGAATGTTGATATAGAACACAGACTGTTGAAAGGGCCTTTGGGTCCACGTATGCTTGTCGCCGCTAGTCAATCTGGCATTTATATAGATAACGGCGTTGATCAGACGATAATGCATCGTGTCTTGGACGAAGATGACAAAACGAATGTATCCTACGAGATTTTGGAGTTTTTAGGTTTATCGGAGAGACCGCGTAGGAAGCATAGTCATCTGTCGCTGAGGTGAGTAAGAAATTAAGATAAAATTTTAATGCTTATCAGTAAGAAAATTAATGTTTCGTATAAAAGGAACATTTAATAAAATTAAAAAATGTTAAATAAATTAAATTATTTAAAATAAATTAAAAATCAAATTGATAACTAAAAAAAATAAAATGGAAACATGATTTTTTACATAATTGAATAAAAACAATTACTTAAAATAAAGTGAAAAAATAAAAAATTAAAACATTATTATTTACAAATCTTCAAAAATAATCTAAATTTTGTTTTACACTTTTTTAGTAAAATAAAATAAAGAGAAATAAATAAACAAAATGAAAAAATTAAACGAACTAAAATAAATTCATAAAAAAAAAACAAATAAATAAATACTCCTATATAAATTATATATATGTATATATCAAATGTTGTGTCATAAAACGGAATGAAATGAAACTAAGCAAAATAAATATATATAAAACATAAAATAAAATAGTTTGTAGTAAATTAAAATGCAAAATAAAACAAACTGAAATAAAATAAACTAAAACATAATGAAATAAAATTGAATAAAGTAAAACAAATAAATAAAAATATATATAAAATAAACTAAATTAAATAAATTATTCATAAAATAAAGTTTAATAGAAAATAGCATGAAACAAATATAATAAAACATAAAGTGAAATTAAATGGTATAAAATAAATTAATAAAGTATATAAAATGAAATAAAATAAATATTCAAAACAGAATAAAGAAAAATAAAATATAATTCATATTATTAAAATAAAATAAAAATGAGAAAAAAATAAAAAAATACACAAAATTAAAAAAGCAGAAAAAAGGAAATAAAAAATATAATATTATTAAAAAAATAAAATAATATTAATATATAAAATATTATAAAAAATATAATAAAACTAAATATAATATAATAAAATAAAATAAAATAAATATGTATTACATCAATTAAATAAATATGTGACAATAAAATAAAATGAAAAAAAAAAAATAAAAAACTTGGTTATTAAACTTCCTGGCAAATTTAGTATTCCACGCTCATAGAACTTCTGTGCGATTTCATAGCCTCATCATTGCCGAAAGTTTTACCATTTAAGGAGTTCTGCAAAGATCGAAATAAATGGTAGTCTGATGGTGCAAGGTCAGGGCTATATGGTGGATGCATCAAAAGTTCCCAGCCAAGCTCACTCAGTTTTTAGCGAGTGACCAAAGATGTGTGCGGTCTAGCGTTGTCCTGGTGGAATATGACACCTTTACGATTGACCTTACTGGTTGCTTCTCCTTGATGGCTGTATTCAATTTGTCCAATTGTTGACAGTAAACATCCGAATTAATCGTTTGGTTCCTTGGAAGCAGCTCAAAATATACGACACCCTTCCAATCCCACCAAGCAGACAGCAGAACCTTCTTTTGGTGGGTATCAGCCTTTGAAGTGGCTTGAGCTGGTCCACCATGCTTGGACCATGATCGTTTTCGACTAACGTTGTTGTAAACAATCCATTTGCCATCTCCAGTTATGATTCGTTTTAAAAACGGATCGAATTCATTGCGTTTAAGGTGCATATCACAAGCGTTGATTCGGTGTGTTAAATGAATTTCTTTCAATACATGTGGTACCCAAATATCAAGCTTTTTCACCAGTCCAAGACTTTTTATGTGATAATGAACGTTTGATTTTAGTATATTTAACTTCTCTCCTATCTCACGCTCAGTTACATGACGATCCAATTCGATTAATGCTTTGCTTTGGTCATCATGAACTGCATTTGTCCGACCTGAACGTGGTCATCTTTAAGTGAAAAATCTCCAGAACGGAATTTGCGAAACCAATTTTGACACTGTCTTCCTTTTAAGGCTTCATCACCATACACATCTCGTAACTTTTTAGCAACCTGCTCCGCGTTTTTTACTTTACGGGCTCCATATTAAAATTGACGCCAAACAAACAAATGTAAACAAAATTTCGCGCACTTTTTTTCTAAAGCAATCTAAAAGTAATAGCTGATAACTGACAGAAGAAAGAATGCAATGCCAGAGTCACAAGACGTTGAAAAAATTTGTCAACGCTGACTATATGAAAAATCCGCAATTACTTTTTGGGCAACCCAATAATAAATTGATCCAAAATGAACTTAAATGATATTATTAATATAGTATATAAAATTAAACAAAAATATTATTAAAAAAACAAGCAAAGGAAATAAAACAAAAAACGAACTAATTATATTACGTATATATGTGAAATAAAATAAAAATTAAAAAAAAATTAATAAAGTTTTATTAATAAAATAAATGTAAAATAAAATAAAAATAAAATTAAATTATATAAAAAATAAAAAAAGTTATAAAAAAAAACAAAAAAGGAAATTATATTAAATTAAATGAAATGCAACGAAAAAAAATAGTTAAAATAAGAATTAAATAAAAGAAATTTTTTTTAAAAAACCTAGCGAATAAAAACAAACTAATTCAAAATAAAAACATTAAAGAAAATATATTAAAATGAAAGAAAAAATAAAATAAAATTTAATTAAATGCATAATAAAATAAAATATATAAAAAATTAAATGAAATAAATTAAATAAATTAAAAAATTACTGAAATAAAACGAAAAAATAAAAACAAAATGAAAAAAGATAAAGTAAAACTATATAAAAATTTTAAACAAGTTACAAGAAAATTATATTATATTTACAATAATAAACGAAATAAAATAAAAACATTAAAGAAAATAAATTAAAATGAAAGAAAAAATAAAATAAAATTTAGTTAAATGACATAATAAAAAATAAATAAAATAAAATATATAAAAAATTAAATGATATAAATTAAAAAATAACTAAAATAAAACGAGCAAATGAAACAAGGTGAAAAGATAAAGTAAAATTAAATAAAAATTTTAAACAAGTTACAAGAAAATTATATTATATTTACAATAATAAACGAAATAAAATAAAAACATTAAAGAAAATAAATTAAAATGAAAGAAAAAATAAAATAAAATTTAGTTAAATGACATAATAAAAAATAAATAAAATAAAATATATAAAAAATTAAATGATATAAATTAAAAAATAACTAAAATAAAACGAGCAAATGAAACAAGGTGAAAAGATAAAGTAAAATTAAATAAAAATTTTAAACAAGTTACAAGAAAATTATATTATTGTAAATAAAATGAAATAAAATAAAAAATAAAAAATTTGTACACATAAGAATTGAATAAAATAAATTTTAAGTAAAATTAAAGAAAATAAAATAAAAAATCGAACGAATGAAAAACTAACTCAAAATTGAATAAAAATACAATATTAAAGAAAATAAATTAAAATGAAAGAAAAAATAATAAATAATAAATGACATATTAAAAAAAATAAAATAAGTATAATATAAATAAAAAATAAAATAAAATGCAATGAAACAAAACAAAAAAATTTTATTACTTAAATAAATGTAAAATAAAATTAAAATTAAAATTAAATAAATAAAGTAAAGAAGTTACAAAACAACAAAAAAGAAAATTATATTAAATAAAATGAAATGCAATAAAAAAATGGTTAGACAAGAACTAAATAAAATAAATTTTAAGTAAAATTAATTAAAATAAAATGAAATAAATAAAAAACCGAACGAAAAAAAAATTAACTAATTCAAAATACAATACAAACATTAAAGAAAATTAATAAAGTGAAAGAAAAATAAAATTAAAGTAAATGTCAAAATAAAAAAATAAATAAAATGAAATAAATAAAAAAATTAAATGAAATAAATAAAAAAATTAAATGAAATAAATAAAATAAACAAATTAAAAAAATAATAAAAAAATAATAAAAAAATAAAAAATTATAAAGTTAAATGAAATAAAATAAACAGCTTTTGCTATTCAAGGTTTTATGTTTTGTTTTATAGTTTTGTTAATTGCTTTTTTATAGTAAATTTATAATTTCCTTTATTTATATTAGTAAATATTATCAATCAGTTTTTTCAGACGCTCGTTGTAATTTTTTCTGCTTTGAGCGTTCTTCCATTTATTTACTCAATTTTAGCAAAAAAAAAATCTAACTGATTATATGTACGTATTTATATACATATTGAAGTTCACATGCCTCACAGACTTGCTGACTACCTTGCCGGCTTGCCTTACCTTCCTTTAGTTATGCCAATATTTAAATGTTTATCTGTATATTTACTTATTTGTTCATAACATTTATTTCAATTTTGCTCATTGTTACGCTTCTCGATGACAATTTATGCAAATTTCATAGCTGGCGCATTACGTGTGTTGGTTAGGGGTATTCACAGTATGCGAAGAGGTTTTTTTTTAATTTTTATACATTTGGCATGAAATTCACGGTAGGAAAAATACCACGATACTACTGACCCTCACAGCTGATTGCATAATTTAATACCGTGCCACGTGTAGTCCTTAACCTGATATTGCTTGGAGTGTAGTTGTGTATGTGTGTGTGTATTATTTGTGCATTTGTTGAAGAAAAGGAAACACTCCTCATAATTGTGTTAAATATTTGCTTGGGCTCCATTTCGTCTACAAACAGTATGCATATTTAATATTGAGGTCCACACATACACACATACATATGGAGCGCACTTGGAATTTTTGAACTCGTGTGCGGTTATTTGTTTTGAAATTGTATTTGCGAAACTGTGTTGAAAAGCTGAGAAATTCATAATTTGAGGTTTCAAATTACCCAAAAAAATACAATTGAATGCATTGAAATGTGGCACATTTTCAAATAAACACATCTCTTTACATACACGTACATACATACATACATTCATATATTGTACATAATTTGTGTGAATGCAAGTTAGCAATTTTTGAAGTATTTCAGATTGCATGACCGCAATGTAAAAACATTTCACTTTAAATAATAAATACACATACATATATATGTATACGAGTACATGGATAGGCAAAATGTTTGATTACTTGATCTTCAACAATTGAAAGATCTTGTCAAGAAAATAAAATTTGCAATTCTTTTTCTGCCGCAAAATGTACTGAAACGAAACTTTTTGATTTCGTCAAGAGATTTGAAATATTATATCTTCCTCTGCTGCCACTATTCGCCGCAGTGCCCGAGAATATTTAAAGCTTAGGTGTTTTTGATCACACAGTCGACATGATCTACGTCGAAAATTATTATAGAAAATTAGCTTTTCAAATTGAGTTCTCCCTTGACAGGCCCTTCGAGTGCATTTCTAAGACGAAAAAAAGACTGCTCATAAAAATCCATCGGCCCTGGGTAGGACTGTATATCCCTCCATTTGTTGGAAAAACATCAAGGCGCACACCACAAATTGAACGAGGAGCTGAACCGAAAATCGCTTCACCGGTTACAAAACGCCAATTATATAATTGTATATTTCAATGTCGTCGTATATCCCGCATGGTTCATCGTTCCATCTTTTGGAGTCTTCGCGCAATAGGACCATAAAACTAATGCAAAACCTTTCCTGAAAATTTGTAGCGGCAACTTATCGTGAACGCATTGTCAGCATCATACAGCATACGAGGCAACCAGTGAGGTTTGATCTTTGTTCGTGAAGAGATGACTTTACTTTTCGATTGCCTAAGGTAGCTGCTGTTGGTAAGACTCACACAGCGTTCGATTTCGAAGCTGACATTGTCATTGGTTCTTGGATAGTGGAATGCCATGATTGTCAACTGTGATGTGGAAACCAAGACCCGAACAATGGAAACACTTTGTTTGATGAGATATTTCTTTCGCTTCAGTTTTGTTTTTTTACAGCTTAGAGAAGGTAGAACTAACTAATGATGTGAAGATCATCGGCATACGTCGTGAATTATACACTCTTATAGAACTTGCAACTCATAGTATTTTCTCAGGCTTTCTCAGTTTTTATCTGAAATCTATTTAAGTATCGTATGGCTTGGAGGGTTACCCCGCAATTCTGATGGAGCTTTTGGTGCTATTCAGCGTCGGTTTACACGGCCGGATAAGTTTTACTGGGATACTAAATTCAAACATAGCGGCTTAGAGAAAGTTTAAAAATCGACGAAAAAGTGGTGATAATTTTCTCAAGAGCCTTTTATTAGACTAAACGCATGGTTGATATTAGGTCTGAAGAAATAAGATCCGATCAGTTTATTGACGATGGGCTTTATCTTATCACATAATATGGTAGGGAAGAACATATTTGGAAAAGAACCTAATGCATGCAGCTTGTCAGCTCTTCGTACTCACACAATCCCGCCACTTTCTTCGTCTTTATGAATCATGAAATAATTTCTTATATAATATAAAATTGACGCTCTGTTACCGCCCCTTTTTGCCGAGCTCCCCGCCCAATTTGTGGTATGTTGTTTTGCTAACAAATGGAGGCAACTACAGTTAATTCTAAGCCGCCTTCCAACAGCTGATGGATTTTTAAGAGGAGCTTTTTATTTCCAGCCAGTAACACACTCGGAGGACTTGAGACTCCCTGCCGAGGGGTGACCCCAATTCGAAAAAATGAATTTTCTATAATTTTGTATGTTGCTGGAGCCAGGTCTCGCTCGAACCATGACCATCCCAATGCTAGTACGCATTGCTAATCACTCAGCTATTGCTGCCTTGCTTACATGAGGATATATTTTAGTAGCTCAAGTTGTCTACATAAGAAAGTTTCAACTTAATTTATTTTTATAATTTCAGAAAATCAGCGCCACAATTTCTGCTCGATGTTTATCATCGACTAACCGAAGAAGAGAACAGCGAAGCGCCTTCGCGTGTCAAACGGGATCTTGAGGAACAGGAGAATTTCATCACAGATTTGGATAAGCAGGCAATCGATCAAAGTGATATTATAATGACGTTCTTAAATAAAAGTGAGTAATTTAAGAGAGGGTGGAAATAAAACCTGCGAATTGGATGTATTTTTCAGATCTTTCAAGTTATTTATTTATTTATTTATACTCCCAAATGTTTTCTCTTAATCTTCAAAATACCTCAGGACTTCATCTTCGGTGATCAATTTTTCACCGCTCAGTTCTTTTTACTTTTGGAAACAAGTAATAATTACTCGGGGCCAGATCTGCGCTGCAGGGGGACTATTCAAAATATCGCAGAGCAACGTGGACGGACGGTTTTCGTGCAAAAGCAGCACACTATTCGTCAATTATCCTCGTATTTCCTCTTCAATGGCTTTTTTTCTAGCCATTCTAATATTGAATCCTATTATTCTCCAGTTGTAAGAACACCTTTATGTTTATAACCCAACAATAAAATTCTATCTTGGGAGTTGTAGTCTCTTTTCGACTTAGGTTCTTAATGATGAACCCAAGTTTCGTCTCCAGTAATAATTATGCTCAATACATCGGGCATCTTTTTATTGTAGAGCTCCAAAAATGTATGCGAGTGCTATTTTTGAGGGGGCGTGAGCATTCTCGGATGACCTTAGTCATACCAAGGTGATCGCACAGGGTTTCAAAAATTGTTCGACGAGTGGTTTGCTGTACTAACTTTCGGAGTCCTGGTTCGACCAACATCCAAAATTATACAAAATTAGTTTCTTTTAATTGCGGTCGAGCCCCTCCGTAGGGAGTGTCAAGCCCTTTGAGCGTATTTCTAGCTGGAAATAAAAGCTGCTCGAAAATCCGTCAGCAGTTTGGAGGCATCTTAAGGCAAACTATGGGTTCCCCCATTTGTGCCAGAAACATCAATACGCCCACTACAAATAGGACGAGGAGCTCGGTCGGATATCGTTTCAGCGGTTATAAATACTTCATTTCAGTCTTTTTTCATGAACTCCTATTGGGCATTTGAATTAGCTGAAATAATTGGCTGGGGTTGATTATCACTTACTATCTCTCCACATATTCCGAAAATCTCACTGCTAAGTGAAGGACAAAAGGAAAATACGAAATACTGTTTTGGTACAACTGAAATATGAAATTACTTGTTTTTTCTGTTCCTTTTTAATTGGAAATTTACCGGCTCACGGATATGCTCGCACGTTCCTCTCAGTACATATGTATGTACGTCCATATATATAACATATGAGTGTATGTTCATACTAATGCATCCACAAGCATGAGTCAGCGGCCAATCGGTCTTTGAATACAAGAAAAGACCGCCGTCTGACTACCTGCTGCTCAAGTGGTTGTTGTAGTGGAGAATATTGCACAAATTTTATATCTTCCAATACGTACATATATGTATGCACATACATACAAAACAACTACTTTTTAATACGAAATATATTTGATACTGATCTTTCTTTTTGTCTCTTTTACATTCCTTCGCAGACCACCATGTCGACGAAGTGCGTCACGAGCATGGACGGCGTTTATGGTTTGATGTGTCCGATGTACCGAATGATAATTACTTAATGATGGCTGAGTTGCGTATATATCAAAATCCATCAGAGGGTAAATGGTTAACCAGTGGTCGGGAATTTACCATCACTGTCTATGCAATCATTAATATGGAAGGACAACGTGAGCTGGAGACACTTTCTTCGGTGAATACGACCTCAGATTATCAAGGTTGGCTGGAGTTAAATGTTACACAGGGTTTAGATATTTGGTTGCATGATCATAAGAGTAATAAAGGCCTCTATATTGGAGCGCACGCTGTGAATAAGCCGGAACGTGAGGTGAAATTAGACGATATTGGTTTGGTACATCCGAAGGGTGATGATGAGTATCAGCCGTTTATGATTGGATTCTTTCGGGGTCCGGAGGTGAGTATACTATATACATATATATGTATATGTTACCATAGGTTACATTGACCTCTGAACGCTTTACATAGACTCGTTGGCCCTTTGTAGTACCAGATGCTGGCGGTCTGTTTTATTGCGATCTAAAATAGTCGTAATGCTTTTGAAGCTTCTTCTAGCACTCTGAACTGCGGAGCTTCGAGATATCTGCAACGAGTTCTGACTAAAACCAAACATAAAGAAAGGAGTTGTTCTAACGTCTCACTCTCATCACTTCCTATATGTGTGAGTGCCACTAATGTACTGGATCTCAATAGGTTGTGGCCCGCCATTAGACGGGCAGTTCTTACGTGACCATCTATGTGAGAATTGGATGTTTTTTATGCTGTTGTGGCACAGGATCTTGGTGAATTTCCATGCAGCTAATCCTGGTCGGCGGTTAGCTCTTTAAAAAATTGTATTTAAATCGCTTTAAGCAACTTTTGGATCTCCTGTACTGACGGATGCGACTTTTGGTAATCTCATCAGCTATTACCCATAATGCCTTTGCTGTCCCGAACCTATTATATATGCAGCATTTGCCCTCGACCGTCCAGTCTACTGGGCTTCGATGCTTCCAAGTGCATTTTCCGACGCAATGGGAAATGTCAGTAGACTGAAGCGTTTGACTGAAGTATCTATCTATCAGCATCTCCGCTCTGTGGGCTTCTGAGCTGGCCACCCTTAAAACACAAGCTTTCATAAATATTGTAAGGGTTAATGAGCAACGAAGGGACCGCTTACTCGGTTGTACGAATAGCCCGCGACTCGTTTCTTTTCTTTGCCGTTCGGCAAGTGAAGCCATGTCTGTTCTATCTGATTTTTGAAACGGTGGACAGTAGCGATCTTTCTATTTCTTTGATTCCACTTACGAGTACGGTGGCGTCGACGATTCCGGCGAAATGACGACTGTCTACGATCGATGATCGACATAACGTTTTCAAAATCTTTCTCTCGAAAGCATTGTTGTTGGCTCCTAGACAGACAGCTCCAAAGGCGTGACTATCAACAGAGATGTCGACGGTTTATTTTGTTCTTTCCACCAGTTCGGCGCGGTTTTTGAGACTGTTCCCTTCTTTCTGTAGAAGGTGGGTTCGAATTTGTTAAAAGGGCGATATGTATCGATTCTTTTTTTCGAGGATATTTTCTCAGATTTGGTGCTTGGTAAATATTTGCTGGGTCTGTAGCCACACTGATAAGGTTCAATCAGATCACTCTTAAGATCTAATAGTCGGACAAGTTTTCGTCCAAGCATATTCCGCAAAGTAGCTTACTCAAACAGCTTGTCAGTTCTTCGCCGCCATATTTGAATAGCTGGAACACTGGACCATTGGCTCCTGCCGCATTATTGTATTGTACCTAAGCGGGCAATTGCATAGTCGGGTGCTGAAAGGTCTTTTCCATCAGTCGGGAACCGCTTTAAGGAGGTGACCAAAAAACACATACTCAAATCTCGGTACGAGTGCAATTGGGGGAACTTGGCAGAAAGCGATAGCCACAAACGAGGAGACCTTTATTATGAATGAAATAAATATATACATATGTGTGTACAAACTTTAACCTCCATTTTACTCTTTCCACAGCTGATTAAATCAACGAACCGACATAGTCGCAAGAAGCGAAACACACCACATGTGCGTCGCCGTAAGAAGTCCGAGATGATTAATCCCTTTCTGGAAGGTACCGGCGAAAATATGCGTAGTTGTCAAATACAAACGCTTTACATCGATTTCAAAGATTTGGGCTGGAATGTAATTGGATACTACTCACGTGCCTAATGCCATTATGAGTAATTCTCATTTTATATTTACAGGATTGGATCATCGCACCCGAGGGTTATGGCGCTTTCTACTGCAGCGGCGAATGTAATTTCCCACTCAACGCGCACATGAACGCCACCAATCATGCCATTGTTCAGACTTTGGTGCATTTGTTAGAACCGAAGAAGGTGCCGAAACCCTGTTGCGCTCCAACGCGTTTGGGTGCTCTACCCGTGCTGTATCATTTGAACGAAGAGAATGTGAATTTGAAGAAATACAAAAATATGATTGTGAAAAGTTGTGGTTGCCATTAGGTTAAGCACGAGAATCCCTATAAAATAAACAAACAGCCGAGATTAATACAAATAAAGAGAGGATTTAAACGTTGGCCACTTCGGGTCATGTGAGTTTGAATAGAAAATATTAAATTGATTTACGTTTAACAGCCTATGTAGTCCTTTATATTTAACAACGGTTCGATGTCCTTTAATTGATTGGAAATCTTTCATATTTTTATACAAAGAGAGGTTCTCTCTACAGAAGGCTCTCTGAGAGGAAGTTTGAGTATAACAATAACTTTATATATACTCTTCTGCTATTCACTCAGAGAACGGATTGAGTGGTACCTTCTTAGTTCGTTTCCCAGCCAGGCAATCAAGTTTAGTATAAAGCAACCAACGCGTGTTTGACAATTTTTAGATCTTAGGGATCAAAAGATATTAAGAAAACATCGTATTTTTGTGTCAGAACACAATATTTTAGAATACTTGAGACGTCAGGCGACTTATGTTAGATTAGGTAGGGCCGGCCGACTCCTTAAGTAGTCTTACAGAGGCGATACCATGTCCAAATGCGATGTAGTAAAAAGTAATCCATTATTTTCCCAATAGATGACGTTATTTACCAGAATCTGGCGTTGTATAAGGCTCATCAGGTTTAGCTAGATGTTGTTAGAAAGATGACATTTTGTACTAAAAGTGCCTTTCCGACGGATTTATGATTAGTTGAGCCAGTTCTGTTTGAACTTGCGTCATTGATGGACACTAGCAAACAGATAATACGCTATATTTTACAGTTTTTCCTCGATAAAATCGAAAACGTGACCCAGGCGACTGAAAATGTGAATGGCGTTTATGGTCTCGATTCTGTTTTCAGCTGAGCTTTTTCTCCAATGGGAGAATGGGAGGATTTGACGCTCCCAGCTGAGGGGCGACAGCAATTAGGAAAACTTATATTCTATAGTTATAAAATATGCTAAGACCGGGGCTTGAACTCTAGGTTTTCGAATGGTAATACATACTACGAACACTTTGTCTATAGTGGCCTAGTGGCCGTCATATTTTGGACCTTTGTCTATTGTTGACTTAAGATTTTAAAGTTTATCATCATCGTGACGTAAGATCAACCTCTGTCTGGAGAACATCAGTCACTCACAATTCACAAGTTTATACTCTGCATTGTACCAACTCCTTCTTTGCATTTCTTGCATTTCCTGCATTTGTTGCCTTTAACCAAGCCTTATTTACAAGCTTGGGTTTCTTGTGTATACTGTACTTATCACTCTTGTGCAGGGAGTATTCCTGCTTTAGTCAGTTCTTCGCATATGTCATTTTCACGGTCCTTATGCCTTGATACCCAACAAATGTTAGCTTTCTTTTTCTTCGCCAACTTTATGATTATCTCTCTACAAAGTCCAACCAATTGATTGTATACATGGATATGTATCTTTATTTTATGTGAGGCTTGCTATAGTAGCTCTGCCGCCGTTTTTATTACAAATATATTGGCTTCGTGTGATTAGGTAGCTTGAATGCCTTTCCAATTTCTAGTTGGGTGCAGTAACCCGCAGATCCCACTTTTTCTTTCATTTTACAGTCATCGGTAAAAATATGCAGATATACAGAGTCCTTTTCAAAATCTGATTATCTCTATTGTAGCAAGTTTTGAGGCAAGTTCTGTTGAATGTTCAAAAATCCATAATAAAGTTGGAGCTCTCCACCATATGGTAAATTCCTAGAATAAAAATATTTGCTTAACAAACGCTAGGAAGTTTTAGTGTGAGTGCGAAGGTGAAAGGCCCCAACATCCAACGAGTACTGTATCCTAAACTTTTAAAGCTGGAGTGGGAACGGCATAGGTATTGTTTTATATCAATGAGCTTCTCGTTGAATTTTTAGCGAGTTGCTTAATTATTTTCTACGATTTTACAGCGTCTCCGAAAGTTATATTATCCTTATAGAAATACGCTCAGAGATGTTGACATTCACTGCCGTGGCGCAAACTATAAAGCCGAATAGCCTCAAAGGTCAGTCTAGTACTTCAAACAATATTTCCATGTAGCTGTAATGGGAAAGCGTTATTGTTTTGTTATTTGTTTTGTTAAAATTCACATTCTTTCCTTTTTCTGTGATTTTGTGATTGCTAGATTATACAGGAGCTCGTAACCGCTTGATGTGCATAATTTAAACCAAAAAACAATTCCCAAAACTGGCTGAATGTTGGCTGTTTTGATTGTAGTTAGAATGAAGTTTAACTAGTCACTTTGAGATATATATGTATGTATATGTATGATAATGCGTATTTACCGGTTTTACTTGAGTACCGGTCAAAAAGTTTTCAAAAATCCATATGCACTACATCAGTTAGCAAGCAATTGACAGCGAGAACTATATTGCCTACAACATAACGGTTGATAATGCAGTGGCCGATGACAGCACAATATTAAATGCAAAAGCGAACTACGCATTATCAACATGTGGCTTAATTAGTGGTGATATACACAAACAACTTTTTTATTGAGAAAAAACTTAAATTATACGCCCAAGGAAATAAATAAAGTATTTTAGTCAATGTATGTTTATTCAAATGTATGTGCATTAAACCAATTGCTTGCAATAATGTGAAAATTCCTTCATTTTGGCTTTCTACTTTTACATTTTCTCAACTTCCGTTATGTACTGCTTTACCAACGGAAACATACGAAAACTTCCCGCATATTCTACGCCACCATTTTTAGCCATCTCATGACGGGCAAAATTGCAAAGGTTCGCAGCACTGACGCCTGTCGTTCGCTCGTTCGCCACTTCACTGTGTACATATTCAAAAAGTTTACCTTCATTCGAAGAGAAAATTCACAATCGAAAGGATATCGCTCTAGCGTAGAGTGACAGGAAAATCTAATTGGAAAAAATTAATATTGGATTTAATAGTTAATATAATGAAAATGCGTTAGTTTAACGATAAGGTAATGGAAAACTATTACAAAACCGTTTCGTTTCATTATTCTTAGTGTGCAAAAGTCAAAATGCGAAACGTAGAAACCGTGAAAAATCGTGTGCGGAAAAATGCTTAAAGCAAAAAAAAAAAAAAATGCGTGAAAAACGTGTAAATGCAAAGTAGAGAAAAAATGAATACACGATTTATTTAGAAGTGCTGCTGTTGTGCAAGTGTTTGTGTGTGTATTTGTATGTTGTGTTCACCTTGACGTAGGAAGAAACTAAAGGGCAGCGGACAGAGCATGAAATGCTCGTAAATATGTAGTGTATACATAGTAAATATAGGTACATAATAATATGTGTGCTAAAAGTCATACAATCATACATACATACATATGTACATGGTATATATGGCACTCGCATAGTATTACCCTTACGCGCATCAACAGCGCGACGTTGAAAGTCGTTGCTTCGGCCACTGGGTGTTGGGTTGGTGGTTGGACGACGATGGGTTGGCAGCAGCTGGGTAAAAAAGTTATTCATATCTATTGCGGGGGTTGTGCGGTATGAGCATAAAGTGCAATTGTATTACATACATATGTGAAAATATGTGCATTTCTGCTCGTGCGGATGAGAGACGCGCTAAACGGATGCACATACGCTGATTGCAAAAATAAAAAGAAAGTCGGACGGTGTGAAGTTTACGGAAACAGCGCTGCTGACTGAGACGTTACTGTTTGCATTGAATACGCTTCTTTTAGGGGTACAATGACGACGTCGACAACGCCATCGACATTGTCTGTGACTCTGACAGTGACGGCACACACAACACACACACACACACATACTGATACATACAACAAGGTACTGATGATAGATAACTGACTGAACCTGCGACAACGAAACGAAAAAAGTAAAGAAACTCAAAAGAAAAAATATTTATGACAATATTTTAGAAAGAACAAGGCAAGTGACAGTAGTCGTACGTGTATTAATAACAAAAACAAGGGAAATGGAAAATTGTTAAGTGTAGCAGAAAGCGTAAAAAGCAAATCGATTGCGCAAAAATGCTGACAACATGAAAATGATGCTTTCAGCTTTCAGCTGAGTACGACTGACAGGCAGTTCGTTTAAGTGATAGTGAAGAAAAAAATTGCAGTGAAATTAAAATCAAAAGGAAAGTAATGAAAAATTCAAGCGAGCGGCTACATATATATAAACGGCGGGGCTTATCGCGAATTTGGGGCACATGCATACATACAGATGGTAGCTACATACATACGTACACACGTATACATATACACGTGACTATACAGAAAGGCATTTTTTTGTGAAAAGAAAACTGTTTAATGTCTTCTGAAGTGATTTGAATAAAAATATGTTAATTGATGAGATACATATATACATATATGTACGAATGTGCGTTATAAATGTATGTGGTTTAACATTGGCTAATTTTAAGTGGCATTTCCCACCGAATAGAGATATTATTAATTGATACAAATGTATATTCTTTTGGGATTTCGGTATACTGTATATATATTTATATATTTTTTTTTGTTCAAACAAACTCCTTTGATAGAAATGTAGATGAGAACATTTGGGGACACTTTAGTACTGTTCTCAGAAATAATGAAAAAACTATCAATTTTTCCAAAAGAAGGTAGAAACAGTTCATACTTAAACAGTTTTTGACCATTATTTGTAGTAAATTCGACAAGTGAAAGCCCAGAAACTCGGAAAAGCCGTTCAAAAATTGTTTTGAATTCACCCTTCCAATCTTAGCTGCTCTGACTTGAAACAGCCGGTCGGAGACAGCTTAAAGCCGAGTTTTAAACGAAATTCGTTCAGAAAGATAACTTTTAGGAGGAACTCGGTCAAAAATCTCTTTATAGGTTATAAAAGCACCATATGTTTATGTATGTATATATGTAAATATTTAAAGTTTAAGGCTGAAGAACAAGAATTTTCCAACTTTTTACTTGAAAGCCATGTAGCTCAATATCCATTGCAAACGAAGAGCTTGAGCTGATGAATAATGTGTTGTTTCTTGCGAAGTGAATTACAAAGTTCATCTGATTCAACTTATTTTCATTCAATTACATAAAAAGCATTCTATACACCAGACCACTTCTGTAGAACCAGAATCAGAGCTCCACAAAAGCTCTCTTTGATATATTTAAAAAGTTTAAATCCACTCGTGAGAAGAACAGAAATGAGAAGAACTTGATTTTAACTAGTTATAGAATCCCCTGGAAGGTCTGATGAGGAATTCAACAGCTGTGGTCAGAGAGTCCATAAAGTATGGACCACACAATGAAGGATCTGGAGTTTAGATCCTGCTTATCAACGGCTTAATCTTAAAACTTCCTTAGGTTCCCGCATTTGTACACATTTTACTTGACACCGTTAAGCCGAGCATTAATTTTTAATTTTAATTAAAAGATATAATTGCATTGTGCTCTCTACTCAAATTCTGTTCAGAATTTATGTGATTAAATATAAGCAATTAAAATTTTTTACATGAAAACCCTCCGTAAATGGTATTAAAATTGCATATGAAACCGCAAAAATTGCTTATAAATAAATGTGCACACACACATACACACTCATACGAGCGGGTAGCAGAGTTAGCAACAACAAACAAATAATTTTAGGCTCAAATAAAAATAAATATATATACATATATTTATATATATATCTGTATATGTATATGTATATGAATGTTTTTTAAAATGAAAATACAAGTGCATAAGAATGTATGTACACGTATGTGCATATATATGTATAAATATTTGCCATCTTTACAACACATTCTATAAATACAAGAGTAAAAGCGACCAGAAAGCTATTGCATACACACAGACGAACCACCTGACAACATACAAACATTTACGAATTCATATACAAGCATACATAATACATATATGTATATGTATGTTCATCTAAATGTTTGTTGGCATGTAGATATGTAAATATATATGTATGTGTGTATGTATAAAATCTTCGACTGCCTCTTCAAATGCGTCCTCGTCACTGCACTCTGACTGCGGCACTGGCAGTGGCACTGGCTAACCAACCACTTACAAGTACAAGCAAATATCTGTGTGTTCAGACCCTGTAGGAAATTTGTTTTTCGGCTTTAAGGCTCAAACTTCAATGTGTTGTAAGCACCACACCAAATAATAAATCCACTCGTCAGAAGAACGGCTATGAGATCCATTCCATGGGAAGAGTTCGATTTTAACTGGTTATAGATTTCCCTGGGAGGTCGGTAGCCAGAGAGTTCATAAAGAATGGATCTGGAGGTGAGATTCAGCTTATGAATAGCCTAATTCTAGAACTGTCTTAGGTTTCAGTGTATTTCTGGTATAAAATAAAATGTTCTCATAAAAATTCATCGGCCGTTTGGAAGCAGGCGACTCTATTTGTTGGGAAAACATCACATTGAACGGGTACAAAGCGCCATTTCCTTTTGTGGAAAATCTGACTTTTCATCCAGATTCGGGTCCGTTCAATAAAAAGGGCTTCAATCACCCAAGGATGGCGACTATCTTTGCTAAAGTGGTGTTTTAGGAACTCCATCGAATTTATAGCGTAGGGAAATGGGTAAGAAAAGGCATATAGTTGGCCCTTATGCAATTTTCAATGAGCTTGCTTGGGAACTTGTTGTGATAAAAATAAGCACAAAACACGAACGCAATGGTCAAGCTACATATTATGTCTCATATAAATTTCAACTGTGAACAGGGTTTCCCCACTGTTGTGGTAGCTAAAAGAAAATATGCTGATTTAAAATTGTACAGCAAGGACTCACACACTTTGACCGATTTGCTCAAAAACGCCATAGCAAACTGATGCAAGGACAGCGGTCTAGTTGTTAACCCAGAATCGAAATGTTCCCAGTTCCAAGGAGATAAAAATCACCCCTTTGAAGCCATTTCTACTACAGGGCGAGAAAGTCACTCTCTCTACCGAAGGATAGCGGTCTCCTGGTAACCCAGAACCCAAATGGTCGCAATTACTATATGGTACAAACCGTTTCCTTTTAAGCTCCCTCTAATATAGGTCAATTTAAGTATCTCGATAAGCGAACCAACAACTCTCTCAACAGCTGGTTGTATGCACCGGAGTTGACCCGAGTTTTATCCGCCACATCACTACTACTAACAGGGAGTCATGGCAATCTTTATAGACGGCTCTACATTCGTTGAAAAAGGGGGATTCACTCCCCGTTGACCATGATCATTATAGCGTCCCGATATATTCCGACAGAAAATTTGCCATGAAATCTCTTCAAATACGGAAGCGATCTGTATACGTGTATGAGATAAATTTTCTATTTGTGGTCGCTCCTCGGCAGGGAATATCAACCCCTTCCAGTGTAATTCTGACATGAAAATTAAAGCTCCACATAAAAAACCATCAGCCGTTCGGAGGCGGCTTAGTATAAAATGTAGGTCTCTCCATTTATTGGAAAAACATCAAGACGCAAAACCACAAATTGGATTACAAGCTCGGCAGAAAATCGTTTCACATCGTTACGAGGTGCCATTTATATATATCATCTGTATAAACTCTCTATTAAATGCAACATAGCCGTGGTGTGGGTGACCTGATATAGGACGAATGCACGGCAGACGTGCTTACGAGAGACGGAACGCTTCTAACCACAATATTTATACGATGCAGGGGTTCTCTGCCCACGGAAAAATATGTGCTAAAACTTGCTCGTCGACAAAAATAGGAAAACTAGCTGACAATGTGACGAGATGACTATAGCCAAAATTTGCTTAGAACATAGCAAGAAATCATATGCCTCTAGACAGGTTATCCATTAGCATAACAACTGATGAAATATCAAGTCACTGTTTAATAGGGCTTCACGTGAAGGGACAACTTAAATGACTTTTATCGTAGTTGTAGGGACGATGAAGCGAAAGAGTCTATTGAATTCTGCCTGTGTCACTGTCTAGGAGTCTAACAGTGGGCCTATCGTCTTGAGTGCTTTGAGTTGGTTTAATTTTCCTACAGGGTACTTTTACGAAGTTATACGCACATACATACATGCATACTCACTGCTCGAGCATTGGTTTTCGAGCATGTAACGTTGACACTGATGCTGATTTCGATATCGTATGCAACAAAAACAAATTCACAGATGGTCGATGAAACAAATACTTCAAGAAGGGTTTAGTGTGGAGCATATTTCCTTAAATCGTTTACTTTTTCACCGTTAATTTCTGTTTGGAAGCTTGATCATTTGTATATTTATACATGTACATATATAAATACATATACGTACATATGTATGTATACCCATAACAACAAAAATATTGAAATTTGGTCTGCTACTGGTAGCCAGTAAAAAAGAAAGCATATACATACATATTGTACAAACGTGCATATGTAGATATCAAAAGCACTGTTATGTCTCTCTATACACGTATGTATACCACGGACTCTGGCGTGGAGTCGCCTGTGTGTGATAAAAAAAATTTGCAATAAAATAATTGTTTCAAAAACCCGGCACATGTAAATATGTATTTATGTGCATGTGTACATACATATATATATATATCTTTATTCAATATTCTACATTTGTTTGCTTGTTGGCAACAATTTTGGGCTCTTCTTCAATTATTTCGCTTCATTTTTTCTTTTCGACAGAACCAAAAACTAAAACTCAATAGAATTCACAACCGCCCATTCGCCCATTCGCCCATTTGCCCATTTGTCTCGGCTTTTCATATTGTGTGCGCCTTGTCGTCTTGTTTATTACCCTTTTTAATGAGTTTGTGTCGCATTTGAATGCCAAGTGCGTCGTCGCACAGGTGTGGAGAGCAG